CGTATATTAGGTGTGCTTTATCGTTTAGCGATTTGATTAAACATATATCAGTGTTCTTCAAGCCAAATATCTTTAAATTAGAGGAGCAAAGTTTTTTGTCTCCGTCCACCATCTTTCCATATATATATATATATATATATTAAACTCTAATATATTGCTGTTTTATTATGGTATAAAAAAAAGGTAATCGAACTTCAGCGCGCTATTATACGTGAATTACTCGGCGTATGAACAATTGGTTTTCATATTCGGAAAGATCAGGCTTTTAACTATTGAATGACATGCTTTTCATGCCAAGTGGGGAACAAATAAGCATGTACGAGGCCGATTAAAAATTTTAGTCAAAATCGCATATTTTCACCTCTGTGCCTAATTAAAACAATGGATAACAAAAGAAAAAGCAATTAATCACGAACGTGTCGTAGCTTAGCTAAGATTTATTCCTACTTAATAATAATTATGAATATGTGCGTCGTTTAATGAAGTGAAATTCATCAGCTTAAGCCTGCAGCACACGAGAGCTATCTGCTGAGCCAAAAGTTACTCGTGCCTGTTAGCTCAGCCGATAGCTCACCGATCAAACATGTTTGATACGTGAGAAAAGGTTGCATGAGGCAAAAAACTCAGTAAAATGTACCCGCACACGGTGAGCTATCGGCTGAGCTAACAGACACGAGTAACTTTTTGCTCAGCAGATAGCTCTCGTGTGCGGCAGGCTTTAAGTACCAAAGGGGGTTCACTTTCAATGGTTTTAGACCAAACTCTCAACGGTGAAAATATGCGATTCTGACTAACATTTTTTATCGAATTCGTATTTGCTCATTTTTTATCCATTTGGCATGAAGAAGATATCATTCAACAGCTAAAAGCATGATCTTTCCGATTGTGAAAAAAATCTCGTTCATATACAGAGTAATTCCAATACAACAGCGCGTTGAAGTTCGATTACCTTTTTTTTTATACACCCTGTATATGTATTCCGTATATATTCTTTTCAATAACTGCATTCACTTTCAATAACTGCAATGATTGAACTTTCAACACAGTGTCACATCTTTCTGGAAATGCATAACAAGAAGAGTGATAGCATTAGCCAGAGTGGGAGGTATCACGATCAATTGCAACCTGCACGAAAATTTTAACACGCAACTAGGACGAGTTAAGATGATGAATTGTTATAATTAAAATGTTATAATTATATTCAAACTTGTTGTATATTAAATTTTTGATGGCGCCAATGGTGTGTGCGTGAACAAAGTACTTTCTCGAGAGTCATAATTTTATAGCTGTTTTGAGTGTTTAAATCTCGTAATCGGTGCTTGAAACGTTACCTGCAGAAACACTTCAAATATTTTGAAAAATTGTATAAAAAGTTATTAATAATTGGTAGTTATAATATTTATTTATGATGCTTATATATAAGTGGTTATAGTATAAGTATCAATTATATAAATATAGTATTATGGCTCAGTATAATTTCGAAAATTATATATACTCTCCCTCACATCTTGATCATTCGTGTCTATGCAAGTTGACTGATTACAATCTCGCAATCAATTATTGCAAGACCCAATAAACCACGATCGCAGTTTAGAAAGGCGCAATGATCCATCAAAACTTGCCTCCCTTTATAATAAAGCAAATAATATCATTAACTTTATATTGTTCAGAAGATCAGCCCATAAATTAAAGAAGCACAAAGCAGAGAACATGATTCTGCCTCAACACACATGATAACCGGCGCTAACTTCACGCGCGACACGTTAGTTGTAATATTATTATTATTATTATTATTATTATTATTATATTGTTCAGAAGATCAGCCCATAAATTAAAGAAGCACAAAGCAGAGAACATGATTCTGCCTCAACACACATGATAACCGGCGCTAACTTCACGCGCGACACGTTAGTTGTAATAACTATTATTATTATTATTATTATTATTATTATTATTATTATTATTATTATTATTATTATTATTATTATCATAATTCATTTGTATAGCGTCATTTCTCATAGCTCAATAGCGCTTAATATTAAGCGTTAAAAATATGTACTAAGTGTTAGAACATAATACATCACATGAACTACAAAAATTGCTATACAGTTTCTTAAGGCGACACTTTTTTAAATTTAAATTGTTTAAAAACAAAGTGAGTATCTGACCGGTATAAAACAATAACTAAGAAGTTCGGAAATTTTAAAAAATATTCCTAACTGCCGTTGCTGTGGCAACAACGACCTCATAACATGGCGGTATTTCAGTTATGTTTAATTAAAGTAATTTAACTCGAAAAAAAGTTCGGTTACCCCCATTTTTTATTCCGCACTATTAAAATAATTTCTTTTAGTACTTCGAATTATTTTCATTATTTAAAAAAAATTCTATCACTACTAATTTCTCATTTTCCTATTTTGAAACATTCAGTGGCATGACAAAATTTTTTTAAATTAGAAAATAATTTAAGATGCCAATAAAAATTATTTATGGAATAAAGAATGGGAGTTAGCGACCTTTTTGTGAGTTACATTACTTTAAAAATAAAATATCCGCCATGTTGTGACCTCATTGTTGCCATAGCAACGTCTGTTAGGAGTAGTTTCTGAACATTCCGAACTCTTTAGTTATTGTGCCTGCCAGTCAGATATACTCTTTGTTTTTAAACAAGTAATAATTGTCCAGAAAATCATATCCAAATCAGGCGAAAATCTTTAATTTAAAAAATGTAGGGAGCCACCTTAACCGATCAAATCATTCGAACTTAAACCATATTGAGGCGGTAATTATACAATATTTCGCCTTCCCTCGAATACACGCCTTATATCCTCGGATGTTTTTGCTGTAAATAAACGATGTTTCTCCCTCGAAAATATACGATTTCCCCCTCAAAAACACGACCGCCGCGTATTCGCGGAGAAGACACGCTCTGTGTATAAGAGGACACCTTTCAACTTTATACACAAAAGAGTATAATTATAACCTGCAAAATAAAGCGTGACTGTTTGTTTAGTTTTGACCGAAGATCAAAGAAGCCTACATTTCACTGTCTAAAGCATCATCGCGACAGAGTCTACCCTGGATTCCAGAGCCTTCGACAGTAAATAATAAATTGAAATGTCGCGAAGGCTCTGGTTCAACGGGGCGATTCTTTGATTAAGCCGCGCCAATCACAAAACAGAATTAGTGGTTTTAGTACAGAATCTGTACTAAAACCACTAATTATTAACCACCACCATTAACTATAAAACCACTAAACATTCACAATGCCATCAACTTTGAAATACGGTCAAAATGTCACCTTCAATGTCGTATATATACAGTCAAAATATCATCTTGAAATTCAGCTTTATATTAAGTAAGTTTAGAGTCTGGTTTCTTCTTATATTTCATAATTTAATACAGCATATAAAAAACATGAAACAGACTGTTACGGAATTTTGAGGTAAGCGAAACTCTATATTTTCTCTATGTTTATGTCATTGAGCACGTATACATAAACCGACTCGTGATTATATATATATATATATATATATATATATATATATATATATATATATATATATATATATATATATATACAGTCAATTCAAAAAAGGTTGACTTTCGAAGTTATGTATTTATGTATATTGAACATTGAGCGCGCAAAGAACTTTGGGAATTTACATGTAAGTGAACGGCATAAAATTATTTTGTTGCAATGCCAGCCCCATACAGCCAAGATCTACGCTGGAGAGCAATTTTCTTAGCCGAAATATTAGATCTTGAATTAGAACAAGTAAGTTTTTACTTGCAAATATCACAGTCAACAATAAAACGTTATGTAAGAAAGTTTAGAGAAATAGGAAATGTCAATACGGCTATCATCGGCCGGCCATACAATTGCATATCGATGCATCCTCACGAAGAGCTTGTGATCATGGAGATGGTGCAGCAATATCCTGAAAAAACCATTGCCGAAATACTGGACAAAGTCTACGCGGAAACAGGATCGCAATATGCGTGCTCGACTCTGCACTATTATTTGAAGAGGAATGGCATAACTCGAAAGAAGGTTGGTAAATATGCAAGGGGGCAAGGCATAACTCAATATTATTTTTAAAATGAATTCTACGGAAATACCTGCAAACTAACAGCATCGACTTTTAATTACAGCTTACCAAAATTGCACAACAGAGATCTGAAGATGCAAGAGCAGAATTTCGTGCTTCAACATGTTTACTCCCCCCAGAAATATTCGTTTTTTTAGACGAAAGTGGCTTTGTAAGTTTAACGACATTTGCATTTTTTATAGGCAATAATTTCAACATGCGGTTAACGGGTATGTTAATGCTGTCTTAGTATACAATTCATTTCCTTAATTATTCTTGAATATTTCCACAGGATAAGCGAATCATGCGAACATACGGCTACAATTTGTGTGGACAACCAGCAAAAATATATCGCCGGCATACACACTGGGGTCCGCGCATAACGGCAATTCCAGTGATATGTATGGAAGGCCTTCTAGATGTTGGTGTCTACCGAGGACACGTAGATGGCGAAACATTCCTTGCCTTTGTCAACAATATCCTTGCGCCATGCCTGCTGCCGTTTATTGGTTATAATCCACGTTCCATTGTCATACTTGGTACTGTAAATCACGATTTTGCTTATACAGAATACTGTGTAAAATTTAAATTTTTCAAAGGTAACTAACTTTTTTATTCATCCAGATAACGCTGCAATACATCACACACAAGAAGTTATTGATGCTATTAATGCCACTGGGGCATTGTTAATATTCTTGCCAGCTTATTCGCCGGATTTCATGCCTTGTGAAGAGCTATTTGCACAGACCAAAAGCTACATTCGTCAAAACGACATCGCATGGCAAAATTGCCCCGATCCAGAACTGATGGTATGGGAATCATTTCTCCAGTGCACAGATGAAGAAATAAGAAACTACATACATCATGCTGGCTACATGTGAACATGATTTGTACAATTGTTTTATTATTTTACAAACTCAACAATTCATTTGCAAGCTTTTTCTTTTGTGCTTGAAATTCCTCTGCATCTAAAACTCCAGTCTCTTCTAGGTCTTTCAAGTCTTTCAATTGTTGAATTATCATTGAACGGAGTCGTGCCTATAAATGCAATTCAAATTTCTTCCCGTTATACAAGTGATTTGAATAAACCTATTCACAAAGCTACCAATTAATAGCCTTTTGTTATGCTACATGCAATGCGATTATTTAATTGCGTTGTTGAGATCAGTCTAGATATTTGCATGGTCTAAATTTCAGAACACGTCTTTTATGGGTCCGGTTTCTAGCTTACTATACATCATGCTTGTTTGCCATGGCTATATAGCTTTACCACTGGAAAAAAGCCTTCTTACAATGCACTTCAGAAATACATTTTCAAAAATAATATTACCAAAAATAGCAGTGACATACTTTTGATTCCATCGATTGAGACATTGACACTGTTGTTGTTATGGCTTCAGTTGTTGTTGATGATGTTGTAGCTGTTGTGATTGCCCTCACTGCAGGGGTCGATGTAGATGAATTGTTTCGTTCTTGACCCGCTTTTAATCCAGTAAAAAACGGGATTTTTGGAGGCATATCATAGTTGCTGTGAGTACCGTTGCTCTTCAAACAATATATAATAGAAACTTTGTAAACAAAATGATGGTGATTGCTTTCCATTTCAGTTCTAGTTTACAAGAACGTCAAATAATTGCAGTTTCAATTAAGGTTGACATCGATAATAGTCAAATAGCTACAATAACTACAATATGAGCGGTGAAAAAATGATGCAAAAGTCGTAATTTTCAATATGTTTGACAGATCAATATTGCATCGTTTGCAGGTTACCGAAATATCGTTCAAATTGTGCGAGCGTGTTAAACATATTTTAATCTGTGATTTTTGCGTCCTTTGACGAAATCATAAAATTTGACTATATTGTCCATGTCAACCTTCTAAGTCAACCTGTATTCATTGTATGCACTTAACATATACTGCACTTACCAACATTTTAGCCCAAACTTTAAGTTTAAATTCAGTATAATCGCCTCCATGTTTCTGTTTTAATAGCTGTATTATGCTCCCCATGTTGGCTGCTGAAGATGAAGTTGGTGCTACACACATAAAGATTAATGCATAAAAGTATTTAGGAAACGTTATAAACACATTTTTCAAATGAAACACGTGTGTTTACCATTATCATCATCATCGTCACTTGCATCTGAGCGAGCTCTCTTGGTGCCCTTGGAATTGTATTTAGCCGCTGGAGAATCTGCAGCTTCTGCCCAAAACGTTACCCAACCGTCTTTAGCCATAGAATACGCTTCAACTAGGTTGCTATCGTTCGCCATAACTATACGTCTGTTTCTGCCAGCAATATAGCCGAGCTTGAAAGAATGCTCATTATCAGCTGCATGGGGACAATTCCACTGCGAAGTTTTCTAGCAAATACGCCTTCATCTCATTCAAACTATCAAACATTGGCACATTTTGCCGGCTGTACGTGCTATATTTTGTTCGGTTACTCTTGCACACAATTTTCAGGATAACATGAATTGTAGCTTAATTGCTTTTCCATGTTTGTCAGAGTGTGATGAAGACAGATATGTAAATCTTATAGCAAAGTGTTTGGTATAAACAAGAAAAAGCAATGTTACCTCAAGGGATTAACCTGTTCTATTCAATTTCAAAGGTTTTAAGATTTATACACTCTATAGTAATTTTCTTTTAACTTTTATTCATTCATGACTATTTGATTGTTTTAATAATTTATGGAGAGAAAAAATGTTTAATATATCATTGTCCTGCGCTGAAGAAAATTTTTTGCATTTATTTTATCACCATGATACAGATCACCAGCGGTATAAATAAATACGCAAAATTCTATGATGAAAACTTGTACGTGTACAGTACCGCTCAGAATTAACCTAACAAAAACCGCGGTTTAACCTCGGTTGAACCTCGGTTTGACCGCGGTGTCACCGCGGTGATTTAAAGGTTTGACCGAGGTTATACCGCGGTAATTTTGAGGTTAAACCGCGGTGACCGTGAGGTTTAACCGAGGTTTGACCGCAACCGAACCGAACCGATCCGCAAGCTTCGTATATACTCGTAATAGCATTCGTAAATATTCATGTATTTCCGAAGGGGGTCATTATAAAAACTTCGTGTGTGCTTTATAAATATTGACATATTTTGTAAACATTGAGACATGGGGAGGCTGTCACTTTATGCCAGGGAGCGAATTGTCTCCTTACTTTCGACAAATACTTCAGTTGATGCTTGTGATGTTACTCTGAATGTATATACACACCGGACAAGCTTGATAAATATGCCTGATCACCGTGGTCAGGCATGATTTATCAAGCTTGTCCGGTGTGGATATACACTCAGAGTAACATCACAAGCATCATATTCACCTGAGTACATTACACCAACACAGAATAAATCGTGAAATACTTCAGTTGTTGGAATAACTAAGAGTTTAAACGAAGGGTAAAGGCAAATATGTAGCCTAGATCTCTTCTTGTTTATTACAATTTAAATAGATGTTTTAGAATAAGTAAGAATTTGGCGCGCGCATTAACTTAACTCTTTAAATATAATAAAGGCTAAAGGTTATAACGCGTGTACCTAAAAGGTAAATGAAATCTCGGCCTTTTAGGCACACATGTACGCGTTATAACCTGGAACCTTTATTATAAAACTTTATTATAATTGACAATCTAGCCTTTATTATAAAACTTTATTATAATCGACGATCTGCTGTAGCCCTTATTATAATTGTAGCTGACACCACAGCCTTTAAGCTTTCTCTTAGCTGTTATATTATAGCCCGTGTTAGCATTTTATTAGTGAAGACATTCTATACTGTGAATATTTTACTGCTTTTGGTCGGAAAACCTCGGAATCAGAATGCATATTAAAACCGCGGTTAGCTTTTTGCCGATGCGTGGGCTAAACCGAAAAAAACCGCCCGATAACCGCCCGATAACCGCACGTATACTGTGAATATTTTACTGCTTTTGGTCGGAAAACCTCGGAATCAGAATGCATATTAAAACCGCGGTTAGCTTTTTGCCGATGCGTGGGCTAAACCGAAAAAAACCGCCCGATAACCGCCCGACTAAACCGCCCGATAACCGCCCGATAACCGCACGTTAACCGCACGTTAACCGCACGTTAACCGCACGTTAACCGCACGCTAACCGAACGACCGCAACCGCAGTGTTAGGTTAATTCTGAGCGGTACTGTAGTTTGTTTTTGCGTTTTATAGTTTGTTTGCGTGTTAACGCCTCTTAACCGCTGCATTAATTATACAAAATTATTATGAAAAGTTTATTTAATTACGTATTACATATTGCTGCACCATCTCTCCATCTTGATGATCACAACTAGCTCTTCGTGAGGATGAATTGATATGCAATTGTATGGCCGGCCGATGATATAGCTGTATTGACATTTCCTATTTCTCTGAACTTTCTTACATAACGTTTTATTGTTGACTGTAATATTTGCGCGTAAAAACTTACTTGTTCTAGTTCAAGATCTAATATTTTGGCTAAGAAAATTGCTCTCCACCTTATCGATCTTGGCTGTATGGGGCCGGCATTTCATTTACATGAAAAGTCCCAAAGTTCTTTGCGCGCTCAATGTTCAATATACATAAATACATAACTTCGAAAGTCAACCTTTTTTGAATTGACTGTATATATATATATATATATATATATATATATATATATATATATATCATTTCATTTACATGAAAAGTCCCAAAGTTCTTTGCGCGCTCAATGTTCAATATACATAAATACATAACTTCGAAAGTCAACCTTTTTTGAATTGACTGTATATGTATATATATATATATATATATATATATATATATATATATATATATACTACACATTATGCCTAAGCCTTTATGCGCACGCTCACTGCATTTCACAGTTTAAAAACGGCGATAAAGCACATAAGTAAAGACATTGTAGCGCCCTTCAAGGAAAGCTCAAACAACGGCAACTGTGGACAGCTGTTTCGCCCTTTTTGGGGCTCATCAGCACAGTGCACCGATGATGAGCTTCCACATACCAAGAATATATATACTATAGAAGACAGTGTGGTGGATGTGGGACACTACAGAACTTTATATACTACACATTATGCCTAAGCCTTTATGCGCACGCTCACTGCATTTCACAGTTTAAAAACGGCGATAAAGCACATAAGTAAAGACATTGTAGCGCCCTTCAAGGAAAGCTCAAACAACGGCAACTGTGGACAGCTGTTTCGCCCTTTTTGGGGCTCATCAGCACAGTGCACCGATGATGAGCTTCCACATACCAAGAATATATATACTATAGAAGACAGTGTGGTGGATGTGGGACACTACAGAACTTTATATACTACACATTATGCCTAAGCCTTTATGCGCACGCTCACTGCATTTCACAGTTTAAAAACGGCGATAAAGCACATAAGTAAAGACATTGTAGCGCCCTTCAAGGAAAGCTCAAACAACGGCAACTGTGGACAGCTGTTTCGCCCTTTTTGGGGCTCATCAGCACAGTGCACCGATGATGAGCTTCCACATACCAAGAATATATATATATATATATATTTAATAGATTTGAAGATTCGTAGACCAGGCATTTTATTAAATTATAATTGTTACAAAATTATACAGTGTTTTTCGGATTGTAATTATTTGTTTTGAGCTTTCGACACGGTACTTAGAGCCTTCATCAGAAAGATTGACATCACATTGACACATTGACACTGACCGTCACATTGACATCCCTACAATTTACTTATACAACTGAAACGCTCACATAAATCCCCTAATTCATCTTCATTAACCTTTAACCCACCCTCAACTTCCTTCCCTACACCGTCTCATGATAACAATAATCACCCGCATTCGATCGTAACCAATGGCAACCAACATACTGATATCCATCAACCAATCAGACGTTCCCACAGACTTCAACAGCGTCAACAACAGCGCGAAAATTCAAATGATCAATCTTTCTGATGAATGCTCGAAGTACCGAGTCGAAAGCTCAAAACAAATAATTACTATCCGGAGAACACTGTATAATTTTGCAAAAATTATAATTATATATATATATTATATATATATATATATATATATCAATCTTTCTGATGAATGCTCGAAGTACCGAGTCGAAAGCTCAAAACAAATAATTACTATCCGGAGAACACTGTATAATTTTGCAAAAAATATTATATATATATATATATATATATATATATATATATATATATATATATATATTTATATATATATAATTCATGAATAATTCATGAGCTAATTAGCCAATGAATTTCTTAAAATCTCGTCACATGATGACCACTATATACCGTGATATAGGTCGGTGTGTGCTGATTTAAAATTCATATATAGACCACATGTACCTTTATGATAAAGGTACATGTACCTTTATAAAGCATTCTTTAATTTAACAAAAGTTTATTAATCTGTTCCTAATAAAAACTGAAATATTCAAGAAATCAATAAATAATTTATTTTCCAAAGTTAAAGGTAATGTTATAATTGTTAAACACGGGATTAACAACCCTTTCATTTTTTATTACACACCGGTACCACTTTAAACTCTATAAACCCAACAAACTTGCTTTAACTAAAATGCTAAAGACGCTTCATTGATCTCCACCAGCGATGTAGTTTATGTCTGGTTTGGGCCAATATCATCAGTTTCATGACCACCATCGTCGATCTTCACTTCTTTAAACCTTTCTAGCAGCTCTCCAGGAATCAGAAATCGTCAAAGCCCACTTTGTCGCGTATCTTGTACTTGGTGACATCGATCTTTCGAGCAACGTTTGCTCCTCTTCAGCAGTTCGAGCGCTTCGAAACCGACTCATTAACAAAACAAGTCAAATATGTTCAAATTTCCATTTGAAAACTCCGTTTAACGACTTGTATGACTTGATAATTAATCCATACATTAATTTGCTTGCTGATCAATGAAGGGAAGAATCGTAAAACAATAGAACTAATGTAGTTAGCATTTCTTATTACTTCATTGGGACTCAAAACAAAAGGTGAATTTTAGAAGTCATTTATAAACCTCGTGATTGGGCTTTATCGGTACCTATAGCCTATACTACTAACTACAGACGGTACCGTTTCGGCCTTATGGGCCTCATCAGTGTAGTGCTGATGAGCAGGATGAAAGTAACTGCTATTTACAGTTACCTTAATCAATAGGTATATATAATTACTGACGGTCATAATAACCTATTGTTTCCTCTCTGCATTATATCAGCGAATGTCGAGAAGTTTTAGCGTTCTTCTGAAAA